ATAATCAGAAAAAAATGCCTAAACTAATATCTATTTGTCTTTTCCTAATATTAATTAATTACTTGATTCCACAAAACAATCCCTGACAACGGCACCAAAAAACTTATTTGCTAATTATTTTCGCAATTCGCAAGTGTACGACGTAGCTATATATAAGTAGTGGCGAGCAATGTCGTATTCCACATAGATTGTAGTTATATTAACTAATTACTAAAACAAAAACCATTAAATATTATCTAGACCAATGCAAATTGAAAGGTTATTATGAACATAGGACCTAAGAAATAATTTATCTAAGAAATAATTTAAAGCTTGATCTAAATTATGAAATAAATAAGATACAACAAATAGATTCTAGGCTAAGCGTGAATACCCCTTTTAGACGTCCTCCGAACCTCGAACTCATGAACAAATAACCTAAGAACTAATTTATCTAAGAAATAAAATCTTAATCTAAATTGTGGAATAAATAAGATACAAAGATTGATTCTAGGCTTAGCGTTCCAAAAAATTAATTTATGAAACAACTAAGTTCATATAAACCTTATTTAATTTTATCAATCGTAGAAATAATCATTAAATTAATTTAACCTTTTTCTCCAACAAGTTAAATTATAGATTGGAACTTTAACTAGAAACGAACTCAACAAGCACATTCCGGCAAGAAACTACTTTTACCTTAAGTAACAAAAAACAGAGCAATAAATGAGATAATAAGTTCTAAACCTAGCTACTTACTTACCTATGCACTCCCGAGCGAAATAGACGTGAAAAGATCGAGTCTTTAATAAAAATAAGCATCACCGGTAAAATCGCCGGAAAAGTACGGGTTTGAACCTCCACAAGTTCTTATTTTTTATAGAGAGAAAATATGAAAACGGCTATTCCGAAAAGTTGGAAAACAAGAAAATGAAAGCTTGGTTCACAAAATACAAATGAGGAAGTGTATTTATGCCCACACCCTAAACACACACTCAAAACCCATACATTTAGTAGAAAACACTCACCCAAAATAGGAATTTTTCGTCGGGTGAGTCACTAGGCGAGTGTTGGTGCGGGTCTTCTCGGGCACATGTGTGAGTGCGCGGTCGTCGGGCGGATGTGCGAGAGAGTGCCAGGTGAGTGTGTGGACCACTAGGCGAGTGTGCAGACACTAAGCGAAATGCATGGGAGGGTTAGGCAGGTCTCCCGTGCACGCGTGCGGGTGGATGCAGCACTGCACGGGTCGCGCGCGACAGGTGAGTGCGGTGGCCTAGCGCGTGAAAGTGCACGGGTCTTCGTGGGATGTGCTAGGTCTCTCGGGCCCACGTGGGTCTCGGCAACGCACAGATCTCGGTAACGACACGTCTTTCATCGAAAATCGACAGGAATTTCGGGCAACTCTCCGGAATGCGAATTTCTACAGAATAAAAGACAAAAAGAGAAATAAAAATCACACGGCATTAAAACGACACAAAAAATATAAAAACGAGTAAAAACGACTAAATAGACACAAAAAAACATAAAATAGAATATAATGGTACAAATAAAACACTTAAAAATACACAAAGTAACAATAAAAACATACAAAACAGTCGTGCGTCATTTGCTCGAGCCGAGCCATGTTCTGATTCGTGGTGTGCTGTTCGTCGCCTAAGGATGTCAATATCTCCTTCATCGTGTCGAGCCTTTCAGGAAGATAACACGTCCAAATTTGATGTCAATTTTTTTTTTTTTTTTTGCCAAATTGTCTTTATATGGATTGACATACGAGAAATTAGGGTGATCTAGGTTCCCAAATAGTACGTGTTTTCTCTTTGATATCCTTAGAAATTGCCAAAATTCCGATCATTCGAATAATTCACGTTTAGGATGGGGTCGTGAATCGACACCGCGTTCACCCCGACAATTTCGTTCTTCTCTTGCACGCTGTCAATCAGCTAATTGAGCCCCCAACACAGACATTGATTTCGTCTCATTGGTCGTTGCCACCTTTTTCTAAACATCGTCTGCTCCACATTCCATTGGTAACTACTAAACGCCAACTTGCAAGGATAAAAAAATAGACTAAGAAAAATTAAGGAACTTAAATGAAAACAAATATAAAATAAAAAAATGTCTATACTAATATGCAATCGTCTTCTCCTACCATTAATCAATTGAACAAACAATCCCCGAAAACAATACCAAAAACCTGTTAACTAATTATTTTCGCTATCCACAAGTGTACTAGTGTAACTATAGGCAGTAAATAGCTTTAGGCAGCACATGAAAAGTGATACATAAAAGCTAAATAAATGTTACTATCGGCAATATGTAACACAATTATTGGCGTTGTTGTTGTTCATGTTACTTATAGCAAAAGGTAATATTTTCGATAGATTTTGGTAACACTTATATTATGTGTTGCATTAAATAACATATTGTAACACATTGAAGTAACATAAGTTAAATGTTGCCTATAACATAAAGATAACATTTTTTATCGAATGCAACACTATCTTTGCAACACTTTTGATTAAAATGTAACACTACTATCTTTGCAACACTTTTGATTAAAATGTAACACTTTATGGATACTATCTTTGCAACACTTTTGATTAAAATGTAACACTTTATTCCATAATCGTATCACTATAATTTTTATTTTGTATCACTATAATTTTTATTTTGTTTTACTTTTCAAGTGGTGATGTAACACTTTTGTTTGACAATCATATTATTTAATAGGACGAGTAATGAATTTGGAAAGTTAGGAAAGTTCAGCAATTGGAAAGTAATTGTTTGTCAATCATATTATTTAATAACACTTTTGTAACGCTTTTTATCCAATGCAACATAATGAATTTTTATTTCTAAATCAATTTGGAAGGTTTTAAATCATTTCTAATAGGACGAGTAATGAAAAATAGACATTAAAATAAATTTGATTTATTAAATCTATAATATGGCAATGTCATTGAAAGATTTACTAAAATACTATCTACAATCAAAATCGAAAATAAGAACATGAACACAAATATAATAGTCCATGGAATTACAATAACAAGTCTAGATGGCTTCATAATATTTATCTTCACTATCGCCCAGAGCTTTATACTTCAACGTTCTCATCACCAATGTCTGAGTTAAAAAACAAACACATGTGAAGTTGCTCCATCTTCTACTTTGTCTGCAACTATTTACTTCTTTATACAACTGTTGAATAAAGAATTTCTCGAACTGAATAAATAGGTCGTGTTAACGAAAAACATACAAATGAACATTAAATGAAAAATTGTATTGTAACTAAAAATCAATTAGAACTTCTCATAAAATATACAGGGGACTTTATGGGCATAGATATAACTTTTTTTTTTATAGTTGTACAATTTTATACACTAATCAAACTACTCTAGAAATTAAGCAAGTGTGAATATCAAAGTTATCAGTCTAAAAGTCAAAATATCTATGCTTATTTCACTTGTCTAAAACTCATAATCAAATCAGTAATCTTCTACCAAGAGCATATCAAGGATCCTGCCTAGTCCCCAAAAATATAAATTTATCTATATAAATCAAACTACTCTAGAAAACAAGTTTGGATATAATAGATAGCAGTAAGAATATATTTACTTATTTCACTTGTCTATAAGCTCATTATCAAATCATTAAACTTCTACTAGGAGCATATCAAGGATCCGCCCTACTCCCCAACAAATACAATTTTATTCACATAAATCAAGTTGCTCTATAAAGTACAATAGAATATCAAAGTTAGCAGTCAAAATATTTTTACTTATTTCACTTTTCTACAAACTCATAATCAGATCATTAAACTTCTACAAAGAGCATATCAAGGATCCTGCCTACTCCCAACAAATATTTATAAGTATTTTAAGACAACAATCCAAGACACACACTTTTAACCACAAAATGGTGTCTCCATAACGGCGTATGGTATGGTAGAAATCAAGAGGAAGATATAAAAACCATAATTAGCTAAGATAACTTACTTTGTTATCATGTCGTGGGTATTTGATATTTTCCTTGCTACAATTCTACGTTCAGCAATAACAACTGCAATAATAGACAATACTTTAAATTAGAAAGTAAAGAAAAACTTTGGTGGCCAACTTACAGAACTTACAACATCAGGAAGATGATATTTATGAAATGCATATGTCAATTATAGCAAATCATTTGTACAAAGGTTTTTAAATAACTAGAGAAAGGCACCGATAAATCACACTAAATTTCTAGCTTGATGGTATTGAGACTCCTTTTAGGAGCCTTAGGCAAGCACGAGATGAAGAAGCTTCAAGTGCAGATAGTTCAATGCAAGCTCCGCTTTTTGAAGCATAAGAGAAAGCCATTGCACGCTAGCCTCTTGTATAGGGTTCCAAACCAGCGCACCCCTAAACTACAAGCTAGGTTTGAAGCCCCTACTTTACACGCTTCTCTTTTTCTTTTAGAACAACCTCTTTTAAGTTTTAAGTGGCCTCTTTCCCCCTCCCTTTTTGGAAAGCCAAGATCAGAAGGGCTACTACTTGGAGAGGAGAGATCTGGCATTAGGAAATGCTCTTTAGCTAGGCACCTACTCTTACCATCCCTACTCTGACAACATAGTCATCACTATCAGAAGAATCATCACTATTAGAGGGATCATTTTCCATGGCTTGAGGAATTGCAGCTACTTTATCTGCCCTATCAAGTAAAGTGGATTTGGTATCCACGAAATAGGGATAGAAAGGAAGACTAATTAAGGAACTACCTGTCTAAACTCCTAAACCACTACGAACAGGGCTGCTAGTCGAAGGAAGGAACCAGTGAAGGCTTCCGCGAAAGTAGGTCTACTCAAATTTCTGTAAAACCTGTAAAACCAGTAACTCCTACCACTTTCACTAGGAAAATGAGAATAACATAACATCACAACAAATAAAATAGGTCTAGCAGCTGTGAATTTGAGAAGTGAGAACTAAGAACAGAAGGTGTGAAGCGGGCGTGTTGAGACTGAGAAACGAGACCACAGGAAAGAGAAACCCTAAAGAATATTTAACATTTACTTTATATGTTATATAAATATTACAAAGAGCATTATCAGAAATAGCATTATCCTGGAGAATAAGGAACTGCCAAATTTTAATGATGCAGAGTATTTTCTTCTTCATCGCGATGCAACTACTCTTGATTGTCGAAGTAAATCACTTTAAGGTACAGGCAAAATGACAGGATAATTGTCGAAGCATTGTAACACCATTCATTGAAAAACTAAGCAACCCACTATAGGCACCTAGAATTGTTAACTGAATTAACATTAATCAATGTACAACAAGAATTTTCAGCGACGAGCGTGTTTGCCTCGTAGACAAACACATGTTCATAAAAAAACAGTAGGATGTGCGGTATATACATACCTCGTTTTTATGGTTGTGCAACACATCGATCTCCAATTACCTGCCCGACGACGGTTTTGTCGTGCGCGCGGCTCGTGACTGCCTTACAAGCTACAGTGGCGGGATCGGTATATGAAGCTTCAACGGCAGCCAAATACACAAAAATCTTTACGTACGACGAATACCTACTGACGACCCTAACATAAGTTGCAGAGTAGCTTAATGCTAATTGATAATCCTTTTGAAAGACCCAAATCAACATTACCTTTATATTTTTTTCAAGGTATATGAGCAACAACAATGTCATTAAAAAGACCTAAGAATGAGAACATAATATTTTTTCATAAAGTAATAATGCGATTGCCTAAGAAGACCAGGAGCATGGATGTTAATCTATATAAATCAGTTTAATAATCAACGAAAACCAGTCAACTCATGCAAGTAACAAATAATTCATAAAAAAACAAAGCCTAAAAAATTATATTATTGAATGTCACTCACCCATAAGGAGAATACATCAGGCCTTGTTGTATGCAACTGGTTGCTGGTAGTCGTAACTTCCAGGATAAGCACCCCAAGTCGTCGGTACGCTACCAAGGTGAGGTTTCAGAGTTCTAACGTGTCCTGTAAGAGATAAACATAGGAACATATATAAACATTATATTATCAACTGACATAAAAACAAGAAACTCAACTCACATGCTGATGGTCATCATTTGAGATACAAATAGAGTATATTACCGAAATGAATTGTTGGGCGTGGTCGCTCAAGTGATGCCAATTTACAATTTGCGCGCCTCCCATCAATAATGGGAGTTGAATATGTGCACACTCTCCGGGCTGATTCAGGGTCCCGAAGAGTCACCTAAAAAGCCTCCATACAGACACCATTTAAAGACCTAAGTCACTAACATATCAACATTATATTACCTCAATCACAATAATTCAACGAAAATCCTATTTAATAACTCCAGAGTTGATTAACACTTCAAAACCTCCTATGCTATAAATCAACTAAGAGTTTGTACAAAGGATAGGGCAAGAACAGTGACAAACCAAGGGCTTCTACCGCTCAGTGAGTGTACAGTCACTAGCAACACTTTTAACAGCAGAAAGAAAGAATGAATACTCAATAGAAACAAAACAAAGATTAAAATTCTCAGTCAAGATAACAAGAACTCACAAAACCATACCCTTTCGATTGACCTTGCATTTTTATCAGTGATGACCACAGCCTCAAGTATCTCCCCAAATTGCACAAACAACGTCTCATGGTTTTCGACGGCGCCGAAGTATGAAAGCGTGGCGTTGTGGAGGCAGCGATAGAAATTGGTTGCAGTCGGGATAATAATGATATTTTGGGGGCTACGGTTGCACACGGTGATGGTGTAGTTGGGCGCAAACACAATAGAGGTTCTTTCCGGCGAGAGCGAGGCGTAACTCTATTGTGTTTGGGTTGGAAGGAGAGGAGGGAGGGTACGGAGAGGAGTTTGGGTTGGGAGGAGAGGGAGTGAAAAGAGGAGATCCGCGGGGAGAAAGGAAATAATAATATTTTGTCTTTTAGTGGTTAATGTCAATTGTTAAATAATTTGAAACATGTAAAATAATCTATATATATATATAATTGCTAGCATGTAGCATTAAATAAAACCTATTTAATAAAACCTCTAAAATTTTCCCTCCATTTTCAGTTACAAAATTCATCATTAATATTTTTTTACTTCTCACATTAATACACCATATTAATTGTAATCATGTATGTTTATATTATATTATATAATAGTTATTGCTAATATAAACTAATTATAATTCACAATAAATATAAATTACATAATTATAAATAATTGTTTACAGTTACATAATTATATTATTTATTTTAGCATCAATATTATCTTTTTTTTTTTGTATCTCATTATTTTTTTAAGAAAAAACAATTAGTAAATTATTTTAAAGGCATAGTCAAACAACTTTAGAATCTCATATACAATTGTTTTTTAATAATAATAATAATAATAATAATAATAATAATAATCTAAATATATATAATTTTTGGTTCATGAGTATTTAATAAAACCTATTAAATTCTACCTATGTGGCAATATAATTTTTTCCCTCAAAAAACCGTTGCTTTTTATTTATTTAACCTCTCATTTAATTATTAGATAATCAACACACTAATCACTTTAAAATTACAAAAATCATTTTAAATTTTTGATTTACTTACAGCTGACCATATAATGTGTTGCCTATTTAACGTGATTAGATGTTATTGTTGTGGTTATATTTGAATTAACTTCTTTTTGAAAATAAAAAATGTATTTGAAATTCCTAAATAAATAATATTAAATAATTAAAAAAAAAGATACATACCAAAATATAAATTACATCCAATATGATAAACACAATTTTATAAAAATAAATATTTCAGCTCATTTAATTGTAAATTTGGCAAAAATCATTAACCATTATATGCATACGAATAACTCACAATACTTTATTTATATATCTGTGCAAATGCACATGTCGAATACTAGTAATTGTTCGATAGAGAGAAATATAGAATAAATAATATAATATAGGGTCAAAGTTGTCTAGAAATTTTTCTGATTCATAAAAACTTCCACATCAGATTTTTGAGATCATTGGCAATGAATTAGAGCAATCTATGTACCATATTGAAGAGAAGAAATGTCCGCCCATGTCGGGAAAACTGAAAAAGAAGCGCTCAAGAAACGATGTCGTCTGGCACCCCAAAGAGTAAAAAAAAAAACAGAAAAATAAAGGACAATCGTGTAATTGACTAATTTCACAACGTTTCGCCACCCGAATTGCTCTATTGTTTATATATATAGAATAAGAGAGAGATAAAAATATATTCCTTCCTATTCATAATAAGTGTTGTTTTGAGAAGTTGCACAGTTATAAAGAATAATTTTTTTGTCAATAATAACCCTCATTGATGAGGATATATATGAATGTTTTGAGAAAAGATAAAGAGTACATATGAAATGACGTAATGTATTTATTAGCTAGATGAGGGTAATAATGGAAAAATATGTACAAAATATTCAAAACGACATTTATTTTGCTAATAGTTGATAATGCCAAAATGACATTTGAAAAAATAGGAGGTAGTATTTTCTTTTTAAAAAAAAAGTCGGGGTGGGCCAGGATAAACCTTTTAACTAACGGGCCAATCCTAGACGTGGCCAAATTCAGGTTCCGAGCATGTTCGGGCTAGGAAATTGGAGGGCCAGTTCTCTAAATCGACGTTTTTTCGGGATTTGGAGGGCCAATTCTCTAAATCGACGCTCTTTCGGGCTGTGTCGGGCCTATTCAAATAAAAACAATTAAAAATGAATAATAAAAAGTAAAAGAAGGCCAAGTCGGGGAGCAATTTACCAATAAAAAAATATAAAAAAACATGTGGACAAAATAAAAAAGAAAAAAAAAAAATGAGTGGACAAAAATGAAAAGGACGTATTTAAGGAATACGTTTTCTATACAAATTGTATAGAAAACGTATTCCTTAAATACGTTTTTTCAGAATTTTTTTCAAAAGAAAACGTATTCAATGAATACGTTTTATAATTAAAAAAATGGTAAAACGTATTCATTGAATACGGGCTTTTTATTATGGTCCACTCTCATTTGTTTGTGTATTTTTTTTTCCACAACTTAACTTTTTTATAATTTTATGGTAAAAAATTCCCAAGTCGGCCCTATTCAAATAAAAACAATTAAAAATGAATAATAAAAAGTAAAAGAAGGCCAAGTCGGCCTGTTCAAATAAAAACAACTAAAAATGAATAATAAAAAGTAAAAGAAGGCCAAGCCGCAATGCTAGTTCTGATTCGAAATCGGCCCAACGGTTCAAAAATTACATATATGGGGCTAGAGTCGGCTCAGTCAACCACATTGTCGGTTCAAGGCCCGTTTCAAGAGGGGCCGGCCCGTGGCCATGTGTAGTCGGACCAGGCTCAACCCGTTTCTGAAACATGTCAGGTTTGGCTAGCCCCAAATGCTTTGGTAGGCCCAAGTCGTTTTGCCACCCTGAGAAGTATAATGATGCCTTTTTCTTTTTATCTATTAGCAAATAAAGAACGACGTCGCTTGTTTTAGTTACATGAACCAAAATGACGTCGTTTTGGGAAAAAAATAAAAAAATGAAAATGAATACAACTATTGTGGGGTCTTTTTAGTAAATTCACAAGAGCCTCTAAACGCCTTGCCTTTTTACATATGTATACGAGAGATATATATACACAGTTCTATTATCACATATTAGCAATAACTTAATTATGTTGATAAGAAATTTTGTATTATTGTTTTTTCAAGAATATTAACAAATTTATCAATGACAATATTGTGAATGACATTGCGTGCTAGATTGAGAACTTTTAAGACAACATTATTTATATAAAGAAATAGAATATTATAACATAGATGATGCAAATTGTGTTACTGAAAACATCAAAAAAAAAAAAAAGGTACTAGTATCGTGTGTTACTTAATCAAATGTGTTACATGAAAATATTAAACATTAATAAAGTGTTACAAAAATTGTTACTTAAATGCAAAAAATTCATAAAACTAAAATTGTTACAATAATATGATACATAAAATTAAAATAATTTATGAAGTGCTACAACAAATATGTTGCCTAAAGCAATTTATGATAGTCTAGAGAGATTGTAACTAAATTAATCAAATACCAAAATAATGACAATTAAATATTATCTAGACTAACAAATTTTGATGATGATTATAATTTAAGAAATTAAATAATAAATTAATTTATCTAAGAAAATATAAATAAAGCAAGGTATAAAATATAGATTCTAGATTATGGTTTTCTCGGAAATTATTCATGAAACGTTTAAATTCAACCAAACCTTTTTAATTTTACCAATTATAGAAATAATCTCTAAATTAATTTAACCTTTCTCTCGAGAAAGTTAAATAGTAGATTAATTGATAAAGATCTCATATCGGTCTCAAGATGAACAACTACCTCCATAAATATCCTATCAACCTCTCCGTCTGTTTATTCTCCTATGTTATAATTTGTCATTTTAGAAATCAATTATCTCCACTCGGTCTCAAATCGAACACAATATGCATTCATAGCAGCCGTCTACTCGTACAAAAAAAATAAAAAATAAACACAAGATTCATAAACGAAAGATAAACCGGAATGAAAGCAATACAAACTATATCATATAAAATCTAAAATATATTTAGCCTTGAAACATGCTTTTAAAGCCGCGAAAATAAATATAAGATATTGAGTTCGAAAGAGAAAAGAAAAAGAACGAAAAATCTTATTCGGCTTCATCGATCTCTTCTTCCTGGCTTTCCCGCTCGTCTTGTGCATGTTCCGATCCTCCAAAGGACTCTAAACCTCTGAAAACCGCCCTAAAAAATGTTGCCTAGTGTGAGATCGAGTCCTAATCGAAATAGGTCAAAAAGGCCGTAAAAATAGAAAAAAAATGCATAAAATGCATATATCCATTAAAGCCGGTCTAATATTATATCTTACATCATCTAGTCCCCCCCACTCTGGTCGAGTAAGCATAATTCGATCCAAGAGTGAAATGCCTCTTCGGGCTGTTTCCTTCAACCTGCCACTGAGGTTATAATTTTAATACACCCTCGACCACCAAAAAATCTCCAAACCTCTAAATGAGCATCGTGACCCAAATGAATATTGAATGACCACCGAGGTTGAAACTGAAAACCGAGTAGCCACTGAGGTTGAAAACCGAAAACCGAAAACTGAATGACCACTGAGGTCGAAAACCGAATGACCGCCGATGAAAACCGAATTACCACCGATGTACTCAAAAACCGAAAAGTGAGTGGCTGCTGAGGTCGAAAACTGAAAACCAAAAGACCACTGAGTTCGAAAATCCAGTGACCGCCGATGAGGTTGAAAACTGAAAACCGAGGGACCACTTATGAGGTCCATAACCAAAAATTGAATGACCACTCCCCGAAATCTTGAATTTGAAAATTTGAACTTACGTCTACTGTTTTTGATCACCATGTTCGAGCTCTCTTCGACCACCTCGTCCTATCGCCCCTATATATAAAATCAAATAAAAAAAATAAATAAATAAATTTTGCCTTGTGTGAGTTTCGGAGGAATTCACGAACATGTGATTAACTTTTTCGAGGGTATTTTAGAACTTTGCGGTTAGCTTATAGTTTGGAATATTATTGTATTGTACACTTCGAGTTACAGTTATTTTAGACTGTGTGCTAATCCCT